TCTCTCTCTCTCTCTCTCTCTCTCTCTCTCTCTCTCTCTCTCTTGTTATTTCGGTGCACTGTCTCTTTTGTAGGGATCACAATCTGACCGCTAAGATCACCTCGTCGAAATTTTGCAGTCGGAATATTAAAGCTACCGACTGCTTTAACATTCAGTCTTGCAACGTGGTTATTGTTTATCAAATCCACAAAATACTCGTCACATTGTGACCGTAGCCAATTATCCTTTTTCTTGGAAAGGGCTACCTTTATTTCAGTGACTAATATTTTTCTTCTCATCTTTTGAAAAATTTTCCCAGCCGAAAATTAATTATTTCCTTTATTTCATCGTTACAACGTATTCATATTCCATGACAATACATTATCAATATTTCCAACGTCAATTTTCCACATTGTTAAAAAAGACAGTCGCATACAGATATCGAGAAATTCGAGCTGGGGGTACAGAGCAGAACGACCGCATAGGACAGTTATATACTTACGTTTAACAGTTACGTAATATCCGAAGGACGATATAAAGTTGCCGACGTTCCTCGGCGCGAACAGGAAGGCCGCGCAAATCATCTCGCATGCGCCGGGTCATTAATAGCCAATTAATTAGTCTGTCAGAACGGTGTGTGTCTCCCGGCCGAGTAATCGGTCTTCGTGTAAGCGTCGATTAACCGCGGAATGTATTTTCAACGACAGAACACAGTTCATAAATAACGAGTCGCGGCTTGGAGCAAGATTAATCATTTCGCTCGCGACAGCGAGCAGTCGCTGGAGGATTGCAAATTTCTCGTGCCGTCGTAAACGGCCTCGAAATTTACCGATAAGATTCTTCGAGCCGCATCTTCGCACTCTTTTCGCGAGAAGAGATCGCATATACGTGTGATTTGAGAAACACACTGATACGTGCAGCAAAAATCTTGCATTTTCATTAACCCCTTAAGTCACGAATTTTTCTGCACAACCTTTTCCTTTGTGCAATCAATATCTGGGAGTTTTTGGGGTCATTAATTACGAATTTAAAGTCAGTTTTTGAAAATTCAAGATGGCGAATTCAATATAGAGGATGACAATTTTAAAACTCCTTCGATTTCCATGAAAATTACTATCTGAGAGTTTTTGACTTCGCTGACCACGAATTTGAAATCACTTTTTTGAAATTCAAGCTATTCACAGACTCAATTTCACTCACTTACTAATAAATATAATTACTATAAATTACTATATACTAATAAATAAATATAATTTATCCCGATTTTTTATATTTTAGCTCGCCATATTGAGTTCGCCTTGAATTTTTAAAATTTTGAGGTTGCGTTATCATCTACAGCTCAAAAAGCATCAACCAAGCCATTTCTTTCTATAGGTTTATTTTGTAATATTTTTGGCAAATTAATTTTTTTCAAAAAAATATCATTTTCTTACATTAATTTATTTATGAATAATTAAATTTGCAAAATTTAATGAATTTATGAATAATTAAATTTGCAAAATTTAATGTTCTATGCAGACGATTATTTTAGAGGAACATAACTTTACAAATCTAAGCTTCACAATAAATTCACATTTTCCGTCTCGAAGTCTCTACAAATTCGTAA